TATACATGTATGTTATATAGAGAGAAAGAGAAACACACACACATATATGGTGGTGGTGGTGTGCCTGTAAGTCAATTCTGACTCACAGTGACCCTGTATCAAGGTGTCTGAGGTTGTACATCTTTACAGGAGCAGAAAGCTTCATCCTTCTCCCACAGAGTGTTTGGTAGATTATAACTGTTGACCTTGCAGGATATATATAGGGAGCCCTGGTGTGGTGCTGCAGCATTAGTATTAGATTGCTGACCATAGTTCGTGGTTCACATTCACCAGATGATCCTCAGAATCCCTATGCAGGGTTGCTATGAGTCTGAACCAACAGATTAAGCAGCACTTCACAATAACTACACACACACACACGAGAATGAGTCAAAAATTATCTTCACCTTGGTTATCTTAAAACACCCATCCACATTCACAGCTGATGACAACTTTGAACATGCATGTGAAATGATTCTGTTGACAGTGGATTATGTGGCAAAATCATTTGAGAATCAGCAATGATTTTCGAAAAGTTTGTGCAAAATGGGTACTGAAACAACTCACAGAAGAGCATAAACTGAAGCATTTGGACATCTACAAACAAAATTTGGAACAATACTCAAAGGAAGGAAAACTTTATTTGTTTGCTACTGATGATGAGACATAGATTCATCACTATGAGCCTAAGAGTAAATGGCAAAGTATGGAATGAAAGCATCCTCAACTGCCAACCAAGAAAAAGTTCAAAAGTCAACCATCAGCAGGAAAATTGATGCTTACAGTTTTCTGGAATCCTCAAGGGCCAGAATTAGAAGACTATCAGGAAAAATATTCAACAATCAATAGTGCTCATTATATTGAGATGCTCACTGAAGATTTGAAGTCTAAACTTCAGATTAAACACAGAGGACTGCAATCCAAAGGCATTGTGACCTTTCATGACACTACATGTCTGCACACCTCTGCCTACATTGTTGACACTCTGCAAAAACTTAATTTTGAGGTGTCAAAGCATCCTCCCTATAGTCCTGATCTTGCTCCATTGGAGTTTCACCTGTTGGATCCCCTGAAAGCAGCCCTTCAAGGACAAAGATTCACCTCTGATGAAAAGACAGTGGCGCATTCATAGCTTGCAGCTCAACCTTTAATCATGAAATATAAAAACTTGTTGATAGATGGATAAAGTGTATTGAAAATCAAGGAGTTTATGTCAAAAAATAATGTATTTGTCTTTTCTAAATGTTGATTAAAATAAATTGTAAAGCCAGAGTATGGAGAAGTTTTGACTCACCCTAGGAGCTCTGGTAGAGTAGTGGTTACAAATCAGGCTGTGAACCTTAAGGTCAACAGTTAGAAATTACCAGCTGCTCCATGGGAGAAAGATGAGGCTTTCTGCTCCTGTAAAGATTTACAGCCTCGGAAACCCTGTACAGGGTCACTACGAGTTGGAACCAACTCCACGGCTCATAACCACCACCAGTAGTATACGACTTAGCAGTCATAAACCCTTCCGGTTTTTGATACATCATCTCATCTAAACACTTGGGCTTGTGCACATTAGCAAAGGGGGTTGTCCTTCATTTCCACAAATCTTTGGAACTCAAATAAACTGAAATAAGACTCCAATAAGCCTTGTGAATATTTCTAAGAGTAAATTATGAGAATTTGTGCCAAACACCAATGTCAATCAAAACTCAATCAGATAATTAAACATTCATTCATTCATTCAACCATTAGAAAATTTTATACTTTTTGTTTCGTCTCCTTTCTTTGCAATATTTCCTTCTTCTTCCATAGTTTCTCTTTCTCCTTTTCCTTTTCTCTTATTCTGGCAGAAATATCCATTTCCAGCCTTGCTACCTCTTCCTGGTGGGCTCTCCATTGAAGAACCTGAAATAAAGAGAAATGCTTGATTTCAATATCTACGTGCATTCAAGTGGTTTCATGGAGTATAATGAGACAACGTTCTACTATCAGACAGATGTATTCTATCAAATTTGGTCCAAATACACATTAAAATTAGTATATGCATGATTGTGGGGTATGTGTACATGGTATACGTGTTAATGTTAAAAGAAAAAAGCAATTTTGAAATCACCTCATTTTACATCTACCTGGGTCATGTGCATATATGGCTGACAAAGCAGCAAAGAAGGGGATACAGAAGTGTGTGCACAGCATTTTCCAGAAAAGGAAGAAAATAGAGACTCTTTACCTCAATTCATGATTGCTTGCTTTTATGTGTCGTGGAGTCGATTCCGACTCATAGCGACCCTATACAGGGTTTCCGAGGCTGTAAATCTTTACAAGAGCAGAATGCCTCATCTTTCTCCAGCGGAACAGCTGGTAGTTTCTAACTGCTGACCCTGAGGTTCGCAGCCCGATTCGTAACCACTACGCTACCAGAGCTCCTTGATATTAAGTCCTAAAGAAGCTGTGAACTTATGTCAAGGAATTTTTAGTTCCCACTAATAAATAGTACATAAAGATCTACATGTGTGTTTTTCTGATAAGTATGTATCAAGAAATCTCAGATCGTTCAAAGGCTCTAAAAAGTTTAAGAATCATCCATACATTTTGTAAGTGAGGCAATGAGCCTAAACAAAGATGAAATAAAATTTTAAGAAATTTAATAGAAATATCTGGATCCTACTATACGTTATTGGTAGAAATTTCTACCAATGTGCTTTTGGTACAAATATAATAGGTATAGCATTTCTGAAGGGCATTTTGTAATATGTAATACAATAGAAAATATGCATAGCCTTTGACCCACAATTTCTATGCTAAGTATCTAAAGAAGACAATCAACTACAAAAGTACATAAAAATGTACCCACAGGTGTGTTCCCAGCAGTGTTGCTTAAAAAAGAAAAGTCTGAAAGAGTCTAAATATCTAACTATAGGATATGACAATTTAATTATGGTTCCATCATACAATACATGTCATTCTAAAAGGATGGTATATATCAACTCGATGGCACTTCACAACAACAACATTGATATATAAAATATACAGACTGTATTAAAGATACAAAAAAGCAGGTCTAAAATCATACTTATACTGTGATTTATTAATATAAAATATCTATGTATTTGTGCATAGAAAAAGGCTTATCAAAATAATAATGTAGTTTTCTCTGAATAGTATCATTTCATGGAATTCAAGAGAATATGCTCTAAGTTTTTCTCTCCTGGGTAACAATTTCACAATAAATATGTTATTATCTTTATAAGCTAGAAATCATCAACACTAACAAAGAAACCAAGATCAACACTTAGCTGGGCAGTGCATACATGTGGAGGATGAACCAGCAAAGAAGGCAGTGAGTGCAGATATGTTCACAATAGTTTTCAGAAAAGGAAAAACTAGCATTTCCACTTTAACAACTTGTATCTTATGTATTTCATATAAGGAAGACTCATTAGTGATAATGTATAAAATGTATGAAACAATAATTAAAGTGACTAAGTTCTTTTTGTGCCTACATCAGCTGAAGTTTCAGTTTTCTACAAAACAACATTTCACAATTTATTAAAATAGTCAAGATATCCTACTCTTGGTTTTTAAATACACTTAGCTTGCCATAATCTCTTGCTTATTCTGATCATCATATTTGCCTTTTACTTTGGAATTTCATTACTAGAATTGATGATTATCTATGCTTTCTGGAGTCCTGGTATAGCGTTGTAGGATAAGCACTGGACTGCTTATCAAAAGGTCTGTTGTTCAAACCCACCAACTGTTTGTCAGAAACCCTATACAGAATTGATATGAGTCAGAACTGACTGAATAGCACTGAAAAAAACATATGCTTTCTACTTTCAATCTTCTACTTCTTATCCATTCTTTCCTATAATTATCTTCATTCTATAACATGCTAAAGTTAAAAGTCAAGTTGTCCAGTCAAGTGATAACAGTAATTTTCCTCTTGAACACCCAAAATATTGTTCTCAGTCCCCCTTTCCTTGACATTATGGTAGCACTTGTCCCTGCTGATCATCTTCTCATGCTTAAAACTCTTTCTATTCTAGACCATGACATTGCTTCCTCTGAATCTCCACCAATGGATATTAGCCTCTTTTTTCCTGCCTGCTTCCTGTGCCCACTCGTACACACCCAACCCTACTGCTATCTTCTCTCTGTGACCTCTAGTCTCTCTCTATAAATTTATTATTTCATGTGTTCATTTTCTACTATGAGTTCACTTCTATATTAACAAATACAAATGCTAGCCAATTGTATGTGTACCCAAAATTTAACATTTCCAAAACTAAACTCAACATCCTTAAGTTCAGCACTAAAACTATCTCTTCTTTTCAATTATTCTAATTTGGTATGGGGAATCACAACTCTTCCTTTAGTTTGGATTTTTTATTACTATACACACCCATCAATATGACCAAATAATTATATTTTACCTCTGAGTTGAGCAATCTAATATAGAGTTGAGCAATCTAATATATATATATATATATATATATATATATAAGTTCAGATGAGCTTTTATTGATTACAAATCAATTTCTAAGCATTGACCATCCCTGGTTCACTCTGTTGAAGTTCCCTAGTCCCATCAAAGTTTATCTACCAAATGTATTTAAAATAAGACAGAACTTTCATAGGGAAGACTTCAGTTGATAAAAATAGGATCTAAATGATTTAGAAGTTTCATTCTCAACCAATGTCTTTCTGTAACATACATAATTTGCTATCTCTAGATAGCTCCTCATCCAATTGGGTCTTTCCTTATATGCTCATTCCTCTTCTTACCTTCATGGCATGATTGAAACTATTCCCCCACCTGAAATGTCCTCAGGTTCTCCCCATTCCATAACAATGCTTCTTGACCCAGCACATGCCATACATCTTTCATGGAACATTTCAAACCTATGTTCATCTCTCCTTTCTTATTTCACTTACCATACCATAACTGCCTTCTAATAGTTTGGATCATATTGTTTCTGTTTCAAATTACAGGAAGGATCATAAATGGATGTATTTTGTCTTCTTATACTTCTAACAGAGTGTTATATATCATAGATGCTCAGTAATTATGTGCCAAGGAGTCGGTTCCAACTCATAGTGATCCTATATAAGGTTTCCGAGGCTATAAATCTTTATGGGAACTGAAAGCCGCATTTTTCTCCCACAGAGTGGCTGGTAGATTAGAACTATTCATGTCACGGTTATCAACCCAGCCACTACACTGCCAGGGATCCTTGCTTAATAATTCTCTCTTATTTATCAAAGTAAATATTTTAAATGAGATTTAACTTTTGAAGAAAAAAATTATAGTATTCAAATACATCATTTTGCAACAGCCAATGACATAATGTGTGGTGCTGGTATGGCACTGTAGTATCAGCACTGGACTACCAACCACAAGGTCTATGGCTCAAAGCCACCAGCTGCTCCTCGGAAACCCTACAAAGGGTCGTTCTGAATTGGAACCCACTCAACAGCACTAAACAATATGGATCTCTTCCAATCAGTCTGGCTGACTGATTGGAAGAGATCCATATTTGTACACATTCCAAAGAGAGGTAACCCAGTGGAAAGTGGAAATCATCGGATAATATCTTTGATATCCCATGCAAGTAAAGTTTTACTAAAGGTAATACAGAAATGGCTGCAAGCATACATTGACAGAGAACTTCCAGAGGTTCAAGCCAGATTCAGAAGAGGACATGGAATGAGGGATATCATTGCTGATGTCCGATGGATCTTGGCTGAAAGTAGAGAATATGAGAAAGATGTTTACCTGTGCTTTATTGACTATGCAAAAGCTTTCAATTGTGTGGATCATGACAAGCTATGGACAATATTGCAAAATATGAGTATTCTGGAACACTTAATTGTTCTCATGAAAAATCTGTACATGGACCAAGAGGCAGTTGTTCAAATAGAACATGGGAACACTGAATGGTTTAAAATTAAGAAAGGTGTGTGACAAGGTTGTATTCTTTTACCATACTTATTCAACCTGTATGCTGAGCAAATAATCTGAGAAGCTGAGTTATATGAGAAAAAAAAAACGTGGCATCAGGAATGAAGGAAGACTCATTAACAACCTGCAATATGCAGATTATACAACATTACTTGCTGAAAGTGAAGAGGACTTAAAATATTCACTGAAGAAGATCTAAGAGCACAGCTTTCAGTATGGATAGCATCTTAATGTAAAGAAAACAAAAATCCTCACCACTGGACCAATAAACAACAATCTTATCAATGAAGAAATGATTGAAGTTGTCAAGGACTTCATTCTTCTTGGATCAGCTATCTACACTCGTGTAAGCAGCAGTCAAGAAATCAGACGACGTATTGCATTATGGAAATCTGCTGCTCAAGACCTTTTTAAAGTGTTGAAGAACAAAGATGTCAACTTGAATACTAAGGTGCACCTTACCCAAGCCATGGTATTTTCAATCATTTCATATGCATGCGAAAGCTGGACAATGAGTAAGGAAGACCGCAGAAGAATTGATACTTTTGAGTTATGGTGTTGGAGGAGAATATTGAAAGTGCCATGGGCTGCCAAAAGAACCAACAGATCTGTGTTGGAAGAAGTGCAGCCAGAGTGCTCCTTGGAGGCCAGGATGGCCAAACTTCATCTCTCATACTTCAGACATATTGTCAAGAGGGACCAGTCACTGTTTGGTAAGGTGGAAGGTCAGAGATAAAGATGAAGACCCCCAGAAAGATGGATTGGCAAAGTGGCAGCATTAATGGGTTCAAGTGCAGCAACAATTATGAGGTTGGCCTTAGATCGGGCAGTGTTTTGTTCTGTTGTGCATAGGGTTGCTATGAGTCTGTACCAACTCAACAACACCTAACAACAACAACAATAACATGGTTATGCTTTTTAAAAAAGGAGACCTTTTAAT